AAGGGAGGGAGGACGATGAGGAGGAGGAACCAACAGGAGGAGGAGGAGGAGGAGGAGGCGGAAGAGGAGGAGGAGGATGAGGAGGAGGAGGGGGAGGAGGAGAAGGGGGAGGAGGAAGAGGAGGCGGAGGAGGATGAAGGGGATGAGGAAGAGGACGATGATCATGACGCTGATGATGCGGATGCTGATGATTCTGATACTGATGATGATGCTGATGCTGATTTTGTCGATGATGATGCTGATGCTAGTGAGGGCAATGTTGCTGATGATGATGCTGCGGATGCTGACCACGATGATGACGATGATGATGATGATGCTGATGCTGATGATGCTGTTGATGATGAACATGATATCGATGGTGATGTTGATGCTGGTAATGGCGATGATGCTGATGATGATGGGGAGGAGGATCAGGATGATGATAATGATGATGCAGAAGCTGCTTGTGCTGCTGCTTATGATGATGATGATCATGATTATTCTGATGCTGATGATTACGATGACGATGCGGATGGTGCGTCTGACGATGCTGATGATAGTGATGCTGATGCGGATACCGTTGCAGGTGATGATGTTCATGAGGATGCTGATGCTGTTGCTGATGATGGTGGCGCTGATCCTAATGCGGATGCTGATGATGCGGATGCTGATTATGATGACGATGGTGATGCTGATGATGCTGCTGATGCTGATGATGCTGATGATGATGCTGATGATGCGGATGACAATGATGCTGATGCTGAGGAGGGGGGGAGGATGCTGCTGATCATGCTGATGATGCTGATGATGCGGATGATGCTCATGATGATGGTGATGATGACGATGCTGATGATGACGATGATGCTGATGATGGTGATGATGTCGATGATGATGCTGACGATGATGCTGATGATGATTCGGATGATCATGCTGCTGCTGACGATGACGATGCTGATGCTGCTGCTGATGATGATGACGATGCTGATGATGCTGAAACTGCTGCTGCTGGCGATGACGATGCTGAGGACGATGATGTCGATGATGATGAAGTTGATGATGATGAGTGTGCTGATGATGATGATGATGATGATGATGATGATGATGATGATGCTGATGATGATGATGATGATGATGCTGATGATGATGATGATGCTGTTGCTGCTGCTGATGATGATGATGATGATGCTGATGCTGATGATGATGCTGATGATGATGATGATGATGCTGATGATGATGATGATGCTGATGATGATGCTGATGATGATGCTGCTGCTGCTGATGATGATGATGATGGTGCTGATGCTGATACTGATGACCATGATGTTCATGATGCTGCTGATGCTGATGAGGATGATGCTGCTGGTGATGATACCGACGATGCTGATGATGCTGATGCTGTTTGTGATGCTGCTGTTGATGATGATGCTGACGATGCCGATGCTGATGACGTCTATGATGCCGATGCTGATGCTGCTGCAGGTGCTGATGCTTCTGATGATGATGCCGATGAGGCTGGTGCTGGCGACATTGATGATGCTACTGATGCTGCCGATGATCATGCTGATGCTGCTGCTAATGATGTTGATGATGCTGTGAATGATGCTGTTGACATTTCCGACGATGATGATGCTGATGCTGATGCTGCTGCTGATGATGAGGATGATGATCTCGATGAGGATGCTGATGCTGCTGATGGTGATGATGACGATTCTCCTGATCATGATAATGACGATGATGATGATGAGGATGAGGTTGAGGATGCTGATGCTGATGCTGATGATGATGTTGATGACGGTGCTGATAGTGATGATGCTGTTGCTGATGTTGATGATGATGATGCTGATGATGAGGATGATGTTGCTGATGATGAGGATGATGCCGATGATGGTGAGGATGCTGACGACGATGATGCGGCTGGTGCCTATGCTGATGCTGATGCTGATGAGCATGCTGATGCTGATGTCGATGATGATGCTGATGCTGATGCTGATGCTGATGCTGCTGCTGCTGATGATGACACTGATGATGAGGATGATGATGATGATGATGATGATGATGATGATGATGATGACGATGCTGATTGTGATCATGATGATGATTTTGATGATGAGCTGATGATGCGGGTGATGATGTTGCTGCTGATGTTGATATGATGATTTGATGATGATGCTGTTGCTGATGGTTATGATGATGCTGATGCTGCTGATGATGCTGCTGACGATGATGCTGCTGATGATGATGCTGCTGGTGATGCTGACGACCGAGACGGTGGTGTTGATGATGATGACGATGATGATGAGGTGGAGGATGAGGAGGATGAGGAGGATGAGGAGGAGGAGACGGAGACGGAGGAGGAGGATGAGGAGGAGGAGGAGAAGATGGAGGAGGAGGAGGAAGGAGGAGGAGGAGGAAGAGGAGTTGGAGGAGGAGGATGAGGAGCAGGAGGAGGAGGAGGAGGAGGACGAGGAGAAGGGGGAGGATGATGCTGATGAGGAGGAGGAGGAGGAAGAGCATTACTAGTACTCCTACTAATAGTGATACTATTGCAACCGCTAAAACTAATAGCACTAATGTTAGCCCGCGTGGGCCCCAACCAGTAGGTTCTTGCATTCTATGCGGTGCAATGTGTGTGGTGCAATGTATGCGGTGCAACCGGTGTAATGCAATCTATGCGGCGCAATATATGTAATGCAAGGTATGCGATGCAACCTATGTGCTGCAACCAATGCGGTGCAATCTAGGTGAGGTAATGTATGGGGTGCAACCGATGTAATGCAATCTATGCGGCGCCATACATGTAGTGCAATGTATGCGATGCAACCCATGTAATAATGCAGCGTCTGCGGTGCAGTCTCTGTGGTGCAATGTATGCGATGCAACCCATGTGATGCAATCTATGTGTGGTGCAATGCATGCGATGCATCCTATGTAATGCTGTCTGTGCGGTGCAATCTATGTGGTGCAGTGTATGCGACCCAGCCTACGGAATGCAATCTGTGTGGTGCAATGTATGCGGTGCAGCGACGGCGACGGGCGGCCACGGGCGGCGACGGGCGGGGATGGCGGCGACGGGCGGCGACGGCGATGGGCGGCGACGGGCGGCACGGGCGGCGACGGGCGGCGACGGGCGGCGACGGGCGGCGCGGGCGGCGATTTTGCGACGATGGTAAGGAGGCGACGGCGACGGGCGGCACGGGCGGCGATGGCGGCGGCGGCGACGGGCGGCGGCCACGGCGACAGGCGGCGACGGGCGGCGATGGGCGGCACGGCGGCGATTTTGCGGGGAGGGTCCCGAGATGGTTCACACAAGCAAGAAAACCCTCAAGCACCTGTTTGGGGCATAATTCATCCCGATAGTCATAGGAGCCATCGTAATAACATGATAATATCAAGGACAAGTATATGAGGAGGAGGAGGAGGAAGAGGAGGAACACGAAACATAATCATAATAATCATCATAATATTATTAATAGTAGAAAATCGAACACTAATCGTAACATTAGCAGTAATCGGACTTATAGTTTTCATGATAATATTCATACTTATCATATGACGAATCAGAAGAGTATTACCGAACACGTATACTAAGAAAACTGAGAAACATAATACTAACAATACGAATCGCACGAATCTTATTTATTATACGAAGAAGAGGAAGAAGGAGGAGAGGAGGAGGAGATGAGGAGGAGTTGGAGGAGGAGGGGGAGAGTACATATTGTTGGTGGCTTATGCCTGTCCTCGTCCGGACTTATCTCCTCATGCTGCCCCCGTCTCGCTCGCGGCCGCCCCCCCCCTCCTCTGACCCAGGAGTGCCTCGCGGGCCAGCAGAGTCGCTTCGACGATTCGGAGCACCTGGACGAGGCGCTGCTCGTGGAGCCCCGGAGCGTCATGGCCTACGGCAGTGGAGCGGAAAGCGCCGCGCCCCCCTCGGGAGCTCAGTATCGTTCAACCGATCCCCACCACTACACCATCCACCATCCCCATCCCCATCCCCATCCGCCTCGTTTGTTTTCAAGACGTGGGAGGTCTGGGTCAGGACTCCGCCTTGCGCCCTCCTCGGTCGTGCGGCGTGAAGGCCCACCATCCACCATCCCCATCCCCATCCCGAGCCCCACCATTCCTCCACTGCAGTTGGGGATGTGCCCTTCGAAGCCCGAAGGGAGCAGCCTATATCCCCATCTAGGGTGGTAAATCGGCCAGTGCGGCCCAGGCCACGCAAGTAGGGGCAGGGATCGGTCAAACGATGCTCGGGAGCGGGGGCGGCGACGGTACATCCGGGGGCAAACGTCAGGGGGGATAGGCTCAGGGGGGAACGTTAGCCAGGCGATCGCAAACATGGATAAGGGGGGCGTGGGTTAGCGACGGGTCCCGTTTCCAGGGAAATCGCGGGCTTCCGCCGCCGGACGAGGCGGCACCAGCCGCATTTTGGGGAGGGCACTTTCCCCGATCCATGGATTTGGCGACCGCGCGCCAAACCCATGGATCGCTACCCCATTTTTGCGCGCCCCCGAGCTAGGGAGACTGCCGGGCTCAGGGAGGGCGACAGCTTCGTGGCTGGAGGTCCTCGGACGTCCTTTGGGTCTTCGGCGTTGCCTTCCAGCCTCGCGGTGCATTCTCCGACAGCCGCGCCTCCCCGACAGAGCCTTTCCACAGGGGGGGGGCGTTCCTGGAGCGGCCCCCCACGGCCGGGCGGGGTCCGAGCCGTGGCCCGAAGGACCGGGGGGCAGCATCAGGGTCAAGTCGGGGCACGCCCCTCCTGCAGGAGGGATGTATCCCCAAGTAGTCAAAGCACAGTCTGGGGACGATCTTTTCTTCACTGTGTTCGACTATTTTTGAGTATGTGTTGTATATTCTTCCTCATATATATATATATATATATATAAATATTTTTCGTCCAAAATCCGCATGTAGGAGGACACGCCCGAGCTAACATCGGGGGGATAGGTTCAGAGGGGGAACGCATCGACCCCAATCGCCCATTCATCGCCTCTGGCGGCCTGATGGCCCACCCTGCCCGGGAGCGGTCGGATTCGCTTCCGGGGGCCTATCGCCGATCCGTCGGCGAGGCATCGCCGAGACCAGGTCGGCGTTTCCCCCTGAGCTAGTCCCCCCCCTCACGTCCCCCCTCCTCTGTTCAGGGAGGCGTGAGACTCGACTTTGCCGGGACTCGGGTTCCCCGACGTTCGGTTTACGGTCACGGCGTGAATTTTGACGTCCCAGCTCCCATTGGGTGTTTGCAGCGAGAGCTCGCGTCAAATGTCAGATGTTAGCATGCGTTTTTGTCTGCCCAGGGGTTCGAGGCGTGCCTCTGGAGGCCAGGCAGGGCGGCCGACCGGCCGCACCGACTTGCCCGATGCACCAGTCATGGTTGGGAATGGTCGGCCACGCGCAGAGGGGAGCTGGGGGAGGGGAGAAGGCTTCTTAGAAGCACCCTGCTTCTTAGAAAGCGCGGGCCTCATCTCAGGGAAACGTGAGACTCGAGTACGCAGGAACTCGGATCTGCTGGCTTTTTGAAAGGCCCGTGCTGGATTTTGACGTTCGCAGCGGGAGCTCGCGTCAAATTTCAGACTGGGTCTCATCATTTTCTTGATGGCCCCGTCAGGCCAACCCGAGTCCCCCGAACCAGTGTCTTACGTTCCCTCGATTATCTATAGATGTAAGGTCGGCGCCTTCTAAAAAAGAGGCCTCCTTCTAAGCAGCCTCCTTGTGCGCGCCACCAAGATTGGTTCTGGGCTTACTTTGCCTCACCACCACTGTGGGCCAGGGGTGGGACTGAGCTGTGGTAAGACTTTGCTTGGCACGGATGGCGTCTCGCACAGCAAAGTTCTGCCATGGGTCAGTCGCCCTTGGTCTATAGAGGTGGTGGTGGTGGGGTGGTGGTCGTCCTGCACCGCAGCAGCATGACCTTATGTTACTGCTGTGCAGGACGATCAATGGGCGAGATTGAGGAGGAGGAGGAGCAGGAGGAGGTGGATGTGGAGGAGGAAAATGACGACGATGACGATGCCGATGATGCTGACGATGACGATGACGATGACGACGACGACGACGGCGACGGCGACGACGATGATGACAATGCTGCTGCTGATGCTGATGCGGATGCTGATGCGGATGATGGATGTTGATGGATGTTGATGGTGGTGCTGATGATGCTGATGATGCTGATGACGATGATGATGATGACAATGATGATGAGAAGCAGGGAGATGAGGAGGAGGAGGGACAGTAGCAGAAGGAAAAGGATGATGATGATGACGACGAGGACGATGATGTTGATGATGTATTCTGCTGATGCTGCTGATAATGATGCTGATGATGCCGATGACGATGACGGCTACTATGACGATGATGATGATGCTGGTGATGATGATGGTTATGATGACGATGATAATGATGATGCTGATGTTGTTGATGCTGAAGATGATAATGACGATGAATTGCTGCTGCTAATTACGATGATGGTGGTTATGGTGATAATGATGATGGTGATGATGACGACGATGATGATGATGCTGAATAGGTTGATGATGCGGATTGTGATGATAGCGATGAATGCTCCTGCTGATTAGGATGATGGTAGTGATGGTGATGGTGATGATGATGACGATGATGCGAATGAGGGGCAGGATAAGGTGGGACAGGAGCAGAAGGACGAGGACGATGATGACGACGACTACGATAATGCTGCTGCTGATGATGGATGCTGTTGAAGATGATGGTGCTGCTGATGATGATGATGATGATGGTGACAGTGACTAAAATGTTGCTGCTGCTGGTGCTGATGATGCCAATGCTGATGATTGTGATGATGATGCTGCTGTTGAGGATGATGATGATGATGCTGATGATGATGATGATGATGATGATGGTGCTGATCATGACCTTGCTGCTGATGATGGTGACGCTGATGCTGATGCTGCAGCTGCTGATGATGTATGCTGCTGCTGATGATGATGTGGTTGATGACTATGACGATGACGATAACGATGGCGATCGTGGCCGTGATGATGACGATGATGATGATGATGATGAACATGATGATGATGATGATGATGATGATGATGATGATGATGATGATGATGCTCATGATGATGATGATGATGATGATGATGATGATGATGATGAGGATCATTAACATGATTTTGATGCTGCTGCTGATGCTGATGGTGCTGATGCAGATGATGATGGCGGTGATGATGATGCTGCTGAGGATGATGATGAGGCTGCTGATGATGATGATGCTGCTGCTGATTCTGATGATGGCGATGGTGATGATGATGGTGATCGTGGTGATGATGATGGTGATGATGATGGTGATGTGAAGATGATGATGATGATTCTGATGATGATAATGATGATGATGATGATGATGAGGATGATGATGATGATGATGATGATGATGTTGATGATGGTGGTGGTGGTGATGGTGATGGTGTTGATGATGATGGTGATCGCTGCTGTTGTGCTGTGATGATGACGGTGACGATGATGATGCTGATGATGGTGATGATGATGCTGATGATGATGATGATGATGATGCTGATGATGATGATGATGATGCTCATGATGATGATGATGATGCTGATGATGATGATGATGATGATGATGATGATGATGATGAGGAGGAGGAGGAGGAGGAGGAGGAGGAGGAGGAGGAGGAGGAGGAGGAGGAGGAGGGAAGAGGCAATCCCCCCTAGGCCGCGGGGGCGCTCCGAGCCAGAGCCGCGCACTCCGCCGGGGGCGTGGGATGGGCTTTGTGATCGAGCGACCCCTGGCTGGAGTTACCTTCTGGTGTGCGGCTCTCGGGTGGCGCGGGGGTTTTGCGCGCAGGAGTCTCTAATGGGCCGTGCGGGATCCATTCGACGGCGCGCCCAGGAGGGGGAAGTGAGTGGGGCGACGCTTCTCAGAAGGTTCGGAAGGGGCCTCCAGGCCTGCGGTCTTCTTAGAAGTCCTCTAAGCCCTCCCCGAAGACACGGAGAGCTTCTCAGAAGGCGCGAGGGCCCTCTGAACAGTTCCGTCGCCTTCTGAGACGGCCTGCTCCTTCTCATTTCCCCCCCGGGCATGCCGCCGATGCATGTCGATCTGATCGATCCGATTCGATGTTGTTTTTGGTCAGCTCGATCCGAAGGAGGATCGATGTGCCGACGATCCGATGCGGCCCGAAGTTTGCCTGGCGGCCTGGCGCCGTTGGGTGCCCTGGCGCGGCCGATGCGGTGCGATTCCGACTCCGTGCCGGCGCGGCCCGATTCGATGCGCGTTCCTCTCCGATCTGAGTTATCGATTCGATACTGACGGATCCTGAATCGAGGGGGGGATCCGATTCGATTCGATCCTGGCCGACTCGATGATGATGGTGATGATGATGATGATGATGATGATGATGATGATGATGATGATGATGATGATGATGATGATGATGATGATGATGATGAGGAGGAGGAGGAGGAGGAGGAGGAGGAGGAGGAGGGGAAGAGGAGGAGAGGAGGGGAGGGGGAGGAGGAGGAGGAGGAGGAGGAGGAGGAGGAGGAGGAGGAGAGGAGGGGAGGAGGGGGAGGAGGAGGAGGGGAGGAGGGAGGAGGAGGAGGGGGAGGGAGGAGGAGAAGGAGGAGGAGGAAGAGGAGGAGGAGGAGGAGGAGGAGGAGGAGGAGGAGGAGGAGGAGGAGGAGGAGGAGGAGGGGCCCCCCTCGAGTCGAGTCCTTCGACTCGTCGGGGGGGGGCCCCTCTCCCGTCCCCCTCCGAGGGCACGCCGCCGAGAGGGGGGGCGCCGACGCAGGCGCCAGCCCGTCGGAGCTGCTCGAGCTCGTGGAGTCCTTCGAGAAGAGCCGGAGCCCGGGCCGCCGTGCGGGATCGGGAGCCCAGAGTCGGGGGTGGACAGAACCCCCAACAGTGATAGTCGATTAGTGGATTGTCCGTTTTCGGTTATCGAGAGGGCAACCCAAGGCAAGGGGCCCGCCCTCGGGGAAGCCCTGCCAGCCCCGGACGCCGGCCACCATGGCGGCGGCGCCACAGGACCGGCGGCAGGAGCGCCCTCTATAGGGGCGGTGGTCGGCGGCGGCCCGCCCGGAGGGGAGGAGGAGAGCCTTCTGTCGGGGCTGGACAGAGCCCCCAACAGTGACACGTCGATTAGTGAATCGTCCGTTTTCGGTTCTCGAGAGGGCGCCGTGGCCGTTATTTCCCAGGCTTGCGCCCGCCAGGTTTGGGCCTCACGTCGTTCTCACTAAACCACGTTTTACTAAAGGGGGGTCTGTCCATCCCCGACAGAGTCGGGTACAGCCAGGACCCCGGGTAAGGGGACCCGGTTAGTGGTATAGGGCCCTGGGGCCCTTCAATTGGCCAGATTCATCAAACCAGGTTTGCCGTAACTGGTGTTTTTCGGTTGACGGCAGTTCCGGTCAGTGGAAATGGGACGGGGGGGCGCTCCCGGTACAAATCGCTAGACCAGGTTCCATTAAACCCAGTTCTGCCAACGCCCGATAGAGACGGGGGTCAATGCAAACGGGGGTCAGCCAGAGCGCCCGATCTTGCAGGATCCTGCAGGGCCAGGGCCGCACTGACCCGGGTTTGGGTGCAGGATCTTGCGGGACCCTGCAGGATCCTTCGCATTGACCGGGGTTTGGGTGTAGGATTTTGCAGGGTCTTGCAGGATTCTGCAAGGCTTGGCTGACCCGGGTCTGGATTGACCTGGGTCAGAAGATCCCCGGCGGGAGGGGACGCCGCCGACGCGTGGCGGGAGGGGTCGGGGCGCGTCGGAGGCCCAGAGGTTAACACCGACACTAATATCTCGGTATCGTTTAACCAATGCCCACCCCCACCCCCATCCGCATCCCCTTCGAGCTTCGAGACCCCCACCAAATTACCACCCCAGTTGGGGATACACCCCCTGGAAACCCGAAGGGAACGACCTACATCCCCATCCAGGGGGGTAAATCGGCCAGTGGGGCCCAGGCCACGCCGCTGGTGATGGGGATCGGTTAAACGATACTCAATGTCGGTGGTGTGCCTGCACCGAGGGAAAATGATC